AGCACGTTGCTGGTTTTGCCTGTGGGTGGGGCATTTTGTTCTGCTGTTTGTGGATAGAGGTGTTTGATCAGCAAGGATACTTGCTTAGCATCAGTGCTAAAGCACTTGCAAGAGCATCTGACAAACCTGAAGCAAAACTGGTTTTGGCTTTTCTTAGAGAATAGATCTTCAGCAGAAGAGCTAAGAGAAATCTCAGCTGGGCATCGCTTCTGCCCCTGCACTGCCCTGCAGCGTCGGAGCTGCATCGCTGCCTCCAGCTGCAGCACCTGGGGAGCACGGCAGCTCGCCGGGCACCGAGGCGGATGATGCGCTCAGTAGCTTCCCCGTTGCTTTCGGAGCTCTCGGTTACGGTCACGAGTCTTTTAGACCAGGAGCAGGGCCCAGCCACCTCCTCCACCGCTGCTCTAGCGCTGTGGGTGCTGCAAAGCACTGTTCCCAGCTCCACTTCTGACACAAACACGCCACACGCTCTGTAAACATCCGCAGGCTCTTATCGCACATCGCCTCCATCTTTCAGACTGCGCAGGAATCCCACGTTGTGCTTGCCGCGGGAGCAGGCGCAAGGCCAAGGCTTGGGGCCCCCAACCCTGCCACCTCCCAGAGCTGCCGCTTCCACCTCCCCGCGCCCTTCTCGTCCCTCGTGCTGCGGACTGTGCAGAACAGGGCAAACAGCAAGGGATGGATGTGAAGGCAAGCCCCCGCGAGCAGGGAAGGACACGCTGCAGCCTCTTCTCCTCCAGCAGGGACTGTGCCAGACCCCCTGCTTCACAGCTCAGCCAGCCCCGGGATCCTGGTCTTGTCCCCCCCCAGGCAGCTGCAGAAATCCCCCATGGAACGGGAGTCCTGCCACTGCCTGCCAAAGACCCAGAACAGAACCAGTGCGGACAGCAGACTGTCAGTTCAAAGATTTTATTTAACTGTCGTAAAAGGAGAAGCAGACGATGATTCCAAACCTGTTAACCCGGGTCTAGGATTTACAGACAATATGCACCAAATCAAATTAACAAAAATCTCTCTAGGGGCAGGGCGGGGCGGGGGGGGGTGGTTAGAGGCAAAGACGTAGCTATGAGA